TCTTTTTACTTCAAGTGTTTGAAATTTTTTTATAGTATTTATAGGTAAAATATGTTGGACTAATATTGTGCATTAAAACCAGAGGGGAATGTAGTAATTCTTACTTGGAACATTTTCTCATACTCTTTTATTAATTGCAGTTTTTAAACAGTGAGGCAAGTTTATTTGTGTAGCCCAATTCATACACTAGGCTGAGTTGCCAAGTGAATGAACAAGAACACAAGGCATTAAAATCATTAATCCTCACAGTACATTAAAACGAGTGAAGATACAATCCATCGGTTTTATGCACAGCTAAAAAGAACGGTTTTTAGCCTGGATTTGAACATTGTCAGAGAAGAAGCCTGTCTCACAATTTCAGGAAGACTGTTCGATGAATGAAGGTTAACTGAGGATAAAGGGGAGTCGTGGTGTTATTGTTGTATCCTCAAGATAAGTGCATTCAAAAAAACATTTCTGGATGTGAATGAGTGAAACAGACCTAAAAGGGGAACTAGAGGAGGAGAGGACAAGCAGTAGTGTACTTCAAACGGGAAATGAAGTGAATGGAGAAGATTAGAGAGGCGGCACAAGTTTGAGCAAAACAGGAGAGGGTTGGAGTGCTAAACAAGCTTTCTACTGATGGTTTAAGAACTGGGGACTAACAAACGCAAGAACTAGATGTTTAATATAATTAATTCCATACATATTCAGTAAATCTAACGGGGTCTGCTGATTGCCCTGCCTAACCCTCAATGGATTGATTTAAGCATTTTATTGAGTTTTATTGTTGTGTACTTTTTGTTTGTTTTTTGGTGTTTTCTAGAATGTAAACATTTATATAAAGTTAAATACAATATATATTCAATATCTCTAGATAGACTCTTTGTAGGTCACCTCTCCTTACAGCTCCATTCTGTCCGAGTGCCTTGTGAGGTGAGCCGTCTGTGGTGTTTTTGGTCTTTTTCCATCCGCCACATTCCCTGGCCTCACACTGGGTTGCTGTGGAGAGAATTTGAAAGAGTAGCATCCTTGTCTTGTCCGACAATTTACTGAATTTACATATCCAGTTAGTTGTAACTAAACTCTTTTCTTGCCATTTGATTATTATTGCAATGGTGTACATAGTATTAGACAATTAAACCCCTTGTATGCATTTGTGATATTTTGGTTCAGAACAAAATCTGAGACTATTTACTCCAACAACCGATGAATGATACAAATAACAATAACAGATGAAACTCAGAAAATAAGAATATGGTTCAAACGTTCATATACAGTATTTCTGTAATTCATCTTAAAGACCTTATGCCGGGTTTGATTTATTTAGAAATACAGTTTTAATACCATTTTATATTAGAAGAGAACTACTAAAGGTTTCAAAATCAGTTGTTGTTTTTTTTTTCTGATCCCCCCAAATCGAAATAACCCCATAACAACGCCCTTAGAGACGAAAAAACTTCACAGCCCTTGGTGACGTCAGAGTGGGTACGTTTCAACGCTGTAAGTTGTTTACAATTTGGTATTCGTTCTTTTTTTGCGGATATTCAAGATGACAAGGCGGTGTACAGCGAGTCTGACATAATTACTAGATGAAAAACATGTTCTTTTTTATAAAATATAGGATTTTTTTTGCCGGAATCTATTTCAGATCGATCTTGTCATGCAATTTTGATATCCACAATTTTTTTTTTTTAAACCCGGCATAAGGTCTTTAAAATGTGAAAACAATCTATGATACAGATTGATCACATGCAAATTACAGATGTTAAACCTTTGTTGGTTATAACAAAAGCTTGAAGTCCATTTTCAATATACTCAAAGGTTTTGAGCGGGTTTTATTTGTGGTTAGGGTTGTGTGCTATTTATCAACAGTATGAGAAATGTGTGAGTGTGAGCATGTATGTGTATATATTAGTTTCACCTTGTACGTTGAATTACAGAAGTCAATGGACTAGATTATTAACATTTTTAAGTTTTACCTGTGTATTTTTGAGTTTAGTATTTACGATCTTTTAATTTCCTTTCTAATATTGAGACAGTTTGTTTTAGTACACTTTTTGGATTGGTCTATGCTATTTATTGATTAGGATTTTTTGGCTAGTTTTTGAAACTAAAAGAATAAGTCATAAAAATTAAATATATTGCTATTTATCTTTCTAAACACATGAATTAGGGCATCACTGTTGTTCAAAATGTATCTTTCCCAATGTTTGTGTAATAATTGGATTGTAACTGTGACACAGATTGTGACCTCATGCTGCTGTAGGGACGGGGCCTATTTGCTCATGCCTGGAGCAGAGCGGTCCTCCCGGAGCACATGCTTCAAAACCTCAGGGCTTCTGTGCAATAACCACGACAAAACCAAACCATATTTAGGGTGCGTGCATACTTGTTGTTTTGGATTACTTGAACTTGACCATTTCTGGTTCACTGTGAGCTTTAACAGATCTGTTTTAATAAGTGAACCAGACTTGGTCCAGTTTAAGTGAACCAGACCAACAAGTGTGAACGTGCCTTTAGGCTAAAATCATGTTCGTTTTAGATGAAAGAGAATGAGTTGTTACTGGACACAACTCAGACTAAAAGATGTATTAAAATGATATTCATTGGATTCTGCATTACTTGATACTTTGTATGGTATTAAGAGATATTTATTGACATGTGGTTCATGCAGAGTTTCGGCTCTTAGACCCCGGCAGAAATATTGCACAATGTAAATGCTGATATATTAAGAGGGAAATGGATGTATTTCCCCCTTTTGGTTGGATTAAGAAAGTAAAATAGAAGGGTAAATGAGCAATTTCCATTGTTGAGGCTGTAATGTGGAGGAGGGTTTCTGTGCTGTGAGCAGTGGGGAGCAACTGTTTATAGAAGAACGGATGGCCTAAGGATTGGATGATCCGGTACATTTATGGGATATTGGGTAACCCATTATCACATGGACTTATGACTTGTGGTGTTTTTGCTTGTATTTCCTTCGTGTTCTAATTCTAATCTGCAAATTAGAAAGACTTGAAAAGGGGTTATTAGAATGAGGATATTAGTTATGCATAGGTACTCTGCAGACATTGCATGTAAGAATTAAATGAAGTTATACGTTTGGTGCTTAGACACGACCAGAACACTGGATGTCAAATGCAGAAGGGAAAATCAAAATAGGGATTATGAGATCAAATTCCCCGGGGCGTAAACAGGGATGGTGGGAGCTAAGGGGAAGGGCCAAAGAGAAAGTCTGGCTGAGGCGGCGGTGATGGGGAGGAGGAGGGTTGCAGTGCCTTGTGAAAGTATTCGGCCCCCTTGAACCTTTCAACATTTCGCCACATTTCAGGCTTCAAACATAAAGATATAAAAATTCAATTTTTTGTCAAGAATCAACAACAAGTGGGACACAATCGTGAAGTGGAACGAAATTTATTGGATAATTTAAACTTTTTTAACAAATAAAAAACTGAAAAGTGGAGTGTGCAATATTATTCGGCCCCCTTGCGCTAATACTTTGTAGCGCCACCTTTTGCTGCAATTACAGCTGCAAGTCGCTTGGGGTATGTCTCTATTAGTTTTGCACATCGAGAGACTGGAATTCTTTCCCATTCTTCCTTGCAAAACAGCTCGAGCTCAGTGAGGTTGGATGGAGAGCGTTTGTGAACAGCAGTCTTCAGCTCTTTCCACAGATTCTCGATTGGATTCAGGTCTGGACTTTGACTTGGCCATTCTAACACCTGGATACGTCTATTTGTGAACCATTCCATTGTAGATTTGGCTTTATGTTTTGGATCATTGTCCTGTTGGAAGATAAATCTCCGTCCCAGTCTCAGGTCTTTTGCAGACTCCAACAGGTTTTCTTCCAGAATGGTCCTGTATTTGGCTCCATCCATCTTCCCATCAATTTTAGCCATCTTCCCTGTCCCTGCTGAAGAAAAGCAGGCCCAAACCATGATGCTGCCACCACCATGTTTGACAGTGGGGATGGTGTGTTCAGGGTGATGAGCTGTGTTGCTTTTACGCCAAACATATCGTTTTGCATTGTGGCCAAAAAGACCAGAGCACCTTCTTCCACATGTTTGGTGTGTCTCCCAGGTGGCTTGTGGCAAACTTTAAACAAGACTTTTTATGGATATCTTTGAGAAATGGCTTTCTTCTTGCCACTCTTCCATAAAGGCCAGATTTGTGCAGTGCACGACTGATTGTTGTTCTATGGACAGACTCTCCCACCTCAGCTGTAGTTATCTGCAGTTCATCCAGAGTGATCATGGGCCTCTTGGCTGCATCTCTGATCAGTCTTCTCCTTGTTTGAGATGAAAGTTTGGAGGGACGGCCGGGTCTTGGTAGATTTGCAGTGGTCTGATACTCCTTCCATTTCAATATAATTGCTTGCACAGTGCTCCTTGAGATGTTTAAAGCTTGGGAAATCTTTTTGTATCCAAATCCAGCTTTAAACTTCTCCACAACAGTATCTCGGACCTGCCTGGTGTGTTCCTTTGTCTTCATGGTTCTCTCTGCGCTTTAAACAGAACCCTGAGACTATCAAAGAGCAGGTGCATTTATACGGAGTTGTCCTAAATGACTCAGTCATTTAGGACAACATTGGATCATTCAAAGATCCTCACTGAACTTCTGGAGTGAGTTTGCTGCACTGAAAGTAAAGGGGCCGAATAATATTGCACGCCCCACTTTTCAGTTTTTATTTGTTAAAAAAGTATAAATTATCCAATAAATTTTGTTCCACTTCACGATTGTGTCCCACTTGTTGTTGATTCATGACAAAAATTAAAATTTTATATCTTTATGTTTGAAGCCTGAAATGTGGCGAAATGTTGAAAGGTTCAAGGGGGCCGAATACTTTCGCAAGGCACTGTAAATGCTGCCAGGTGAACGATGGTTGGCATGTGATGGACTGATTGCTGCTGTGGTGCAGTAGCATTGTGTGAGTTTATGTACTTTTTAATAAACCTATATCTTTATTTCTGTTTTTAGGTTCATACTGACTGAAAATGTCAAAGATAATCGCATTAGTGTTTATGACAAGTAAGTACACTTGCTGGTTTCATTTTGAGACGTTACAGATTTATTTACAGATAGAGTTTTTATGAACTGATGGAGTGTATCTTTTTTATGTTGCAGTTGTGTCGCTGGTCTTTGCAGATGAGGAAAGGGGTAAGTGCATTTGGTAAACTATTCAAAATAGTCCAAAGATCAAAGTGTATTCTATGTTGATTTTGCATTGAGGTGTATTGATGGATGATGTCAATGATTTTCTAGGGCGCTAACAACTAGGGCACTGGGTATATTGATATATAGCTATTATACATTTATTCCAGTTCCGGTTATTTCGGTTTTGTTATGATTTAGCATCTTTTATGAAAATGTTAATCCATCCTCTTTCTGCAGTTAACCCTGAAGATGACCCTTTCACCTTTGGTAATGTGTATTATTTTGTTGTTGTTGTAATAATTTTAAAGGAGCAATATGTAAAAATCTGGCCAAAAGTGGTACTGCAGTCACAGTCAATATTTTGTAGTCCTCTCCCACTCTCCCTGACTCAGGTTGCCAGATTCACACCAAATCCAGCAGCAAACACAGGGAATTATGTTATCAGTTGTTTGTCCGTCTCCATTCACATTGCCATGACAGCCGTGCTAATGCTGAATGAATGTTTTGATTAATGTTTTTATTATTATTATTATTTGGACATTTGAGATAAAAAACAAAAACAAAATAAAAGCAATGTAATTATACATAGTTTATGCAAAATAAATAAGCAATTGATGTCCAAAATAGGAGTGGGAAGAATGGATGTTGGAACGTATTTCTTCAGTGTATCAACATCAGGGTTTGCTCAAGAGGATATCACCTTTCAATTCTATTTATTCCCTATTTTTTAGACAAACATGTAAAAGTCCCACATCAAAAAGAGACTAACATTATTTTAATTGGGGTACATGTGGTCTTAAATGATTATTTTTACAATTAAGCTATAATCTGCAAAAAAACGTCTTGACCTTCATCTTTTACCGTTTTTAGAGCAATCTGTCATAGAATGTGATAACATGCAATAAATACAAAAAGACATAGCCCGGGATCGAACCCGGGTTCCTGCATCGTAAGCGCACAGCTTAGACCACTATGCCATCGATTCACACGAACAGAGACACTGTGAAGAACGGAGTCAAGCTAGAAAATTCTGCATCACACGTGAACTTTTATCAGCTGTCTCAATTGTTCAAAGGCATCCCGATATAAATCCTCGTTTTAGTCTTTCTTTTGTCATTAATGATTTGAGAGTCATAACAAGACCTTTTTTAGTTCTGCGCCACATGTTATTTTACCACTGAGATTAATGAGCCGCGCGGAGTTCTGGCAACCCGATCACGGACTTACATAACACTTCCTGATTGGCGAAACGGCGGAGGGTAGGACATCAAAATCAAAACGATAACAACTTTTACGGGTCGTAAAACTAATTTTGATAATCTAATATCTCGGCTGAACTACTGTTATCAGTTAAAGATGAATTCGAAAAGAGTATGATTTAATAACGCCTTTTGAAATATTCGGGTCATTCAATGATGACTTGACATGCAAATATTACATATTGCTCCTTTAAGATTGTGTTTTATTTATTAAATTCCTCTGTGTCTTCTGAAGACTATCACCAGTTACGTGTTGGGGGTCTGATTCTTGCTGCTGTGCTTTGTCTCATTGGCATCACCATTCTGTTCAGTAAGAACATGATTGTGAAATTAATTCTTGTTCTAATCTATACGCATGAAGTAACTGTATATGTTCCTCTAAACAGGTGGCCACTGCAGGTGCAAGTTCCACCAGAAAAAGAGGTAATAATGTCACTGCTGCTTCTGTATACAACAGTCACAAATAAAACGTACACTTACGAGCCATATTTCTATCAGAAGGAGGACGGGAAGCAATGCACAACAGATGCTCAATGACCAAGGTGGGTAATGTGTTTATTACCATTTTTATTCATTCAGACCAAGTGAGTAACACGTATCACAGAGATCAGATCAACAGTGAGTTTTTAGTTCAAACACATACTGTAGGAATAATATTCTAAGACTCCTATCTTTAGAATGTACTCTTTATTTTTTATAATAAAGCATTGTCATAAAAGCAAAAAGATAACTGTTCAGACATTCCCACGTGGGTAGGATAGTATCTCTTTTGTTAAAGTAGGTACAGATTATATAACACTAACACGTGTCGACTGCAAGAGCTTCTTTACGCGATCGTGAGCTAACATGGGCCCCAAAGGCCCCAATGCTCCACTAAGTTAGGCCTACACTGTGAATTTCTTATAGTGGGGGGATATCTGTGCGTCCTCTGAACTAATCACACACACAAGTCAGAAATGACTCCGGCTTTAAATAGAGGCAACTTTCATGCTAAGCTTAGGGTTTGCTAATGTTATATGCTGTTTTTGGAGTCTTAATGTGTACGAGAAGACAGCACTCCACACTCATTTCTCAAACAGCTGAAAACAACTTTGAGTTTTTAAATGACTACTAACTAACATGGTCAAAATAATGTGCATGTTATACAATTTTAAATTACTCAAATTATTGGATTAAATAATTCTTCAAATACAGTGTTGTTAATTCAGATTGATGTTATAGTGATTATATAATGACCATGTGAAGCTGTTGCCCACAGAGTGCATGAAACTAACTGCAGAGCGTGTTTCATACAGAGCTGTATGAAACAATGCACTTTGGTTTTGCAATTAAAATAAAAAAACATCAGAAACAGTGTATTTTTTTAACTTAGCAGAAGTGTAAAAACATATCAGTGAATTATGGAAACTACCATGATGCTCTTCTCCATAACAGGTGCTGCGTTAGGCTCCAGGCGCCTGGCAGACAGAGCAGCAGGAGTGAATATGATCGTGTCTCATGAAGCACTAAAAATGTGTTTTATCCTTCCATCAATCTAATAAACACAATCAAAAACAGTCCCTAATATTAGCTTCCACAAACTACCAGAGAATGTGGCACAGTTGTGCTGTAATTAGCACCTCACAAGAAGGTCCTGGGTTCGATTCGACCTCCAGACCTCCAATATGCCATCCAAATAAACAAATTCAATTGACATGATGTTTAGATTTGAACATCTGTACCATGATTAGTTGATTTTATTAGTCAATAATGGAAACACCTCTCCTTATCCTAGCGTCCTGTATCACTACAATTGTTGTGTGCAGTTCTTTGAACGACCAGTAGGTAGTTTTTCTAAGCTATAGTCTAGGTTTCGAACTCGCCATGTGTTTCCTTCTGTATGTTTCCTTCTCTGTTTCCCTCTCAGCTTTCTCATTGGGACTCACACAATTCTACAACTCCCACTGCATATTTACCACAGCTTATCAATCTTTGACCATACAGTTTTTTATGGATTATACCCCCAAGGCACAAATATTATGTGTAAAGTGAAAGTAATGAATGTAATGTATAAACAAACATCCTGTGAGGCTTTAGTGAGCCGCACACATGCAGGCTGCTGCAAACATGAGGAGGGACATATTACAGGTGTTTGTATTGACATTTATTATATGACATGGACCGTACGCGCGCTCTGATTGGCTGATTACCGGTCTGATATTTTCCCATCTCGGCCCGTTACCATGACAATTGGTCCGAACAGCGCGTATCACATTTGATATCTTTCCTCGGACTGTTACCATGACAATCTGTCCACAGCGCGTATCACACAAAACCAAGTCGGACATGAACATACTTCACAAATATCTCAAAAGCATTGGTAAAGACACAGACGAGAGTCATATAATAAAACATTTATTAACCTCGCTTGCTCGGTCTGTACAGAGAAATATCAGACCTTGGCCTTTTTGCACAGACCTCACCACGGCTCGGTCTGTACATTAAGGCCGCGGTCTGATATTAATCTTTATTACGAGGAATAGCCCCTTGAGATGCATCATCTCGTTTTCGAGAGAGTCCTCAAAAATGCAACACAAGTATTAGCAGCGGTTGTCAAATAAAAGCAATTACAGTATGGTTTAACAAACAAAAGTTTCAGTAAATAAATTCAATAAAACAATAGTCAAAACAAAAACTATTTTATACAAGGACAGAAACATTCACTCATTCACACACACAGAGCTCACAGCCAAAATGTATTTGAGTGATTCAAGGATGTTTTTATGTTATTTTTATTCTCTTAAAGCCGAGGCATCGTTGCTCCCCCGGCACCACCGTGACACGACCATTTTTAAAGGTCCTATATCACGCTTTTCTTCATGTTTCACACTCAGTCCTCTGCACATGTGTGATATTAAAGCTGCACTAACTGACTTTATTTTTGTATTAATTACAAAAATGCTATCCATGTCCGTGTAGGGCATTGGGATATACGTCCTTTTGACGAAAAAGTAGCGCAGATTTGTGCTGGCGTGACATTATATTTTAGATCGAGTTTTGATGAAACAAGGAAGAGAATGTGTTTCGGGTCGCGGATTGTGACCAATCACCGCGGACCACTGGCCCCCACTTTTGTGAGAAATCTACAGGTCTCCGTTAGCATAGACGGCTGAGTTAGCACAACAAGACGAGGAGCTAACCTGAAGCTTCGTCTCTTCATCACCGGTTACTGCTTACACAGCGAGACAGCCATCCAAAAGAAAGTCCCGTTCCTCCGCGCTTCCCAGTTCTATCGTTCTATGGTCACGCCATCCACGTGAAAATCCATATCCATGTATTATCCATATTGGGAGACGCTAGCTTCGTCCCAACAGTGGGTGTGTGTGGGGGGCGATAGCTTCGTGGGTGCGGGGAGGGGAGCAGAAAGAGCGAGGCCAGCGAGTCCGCGGCTTCAAAATCCCAAAGTCAGTTAGTGCAGCTTTAATGTGTATGATACACCACACAACAATCAAAGCTTGTGAGATTAGAGCCATCTCTTGTATAGAGGTGACGTCACCTCGACTCAAACGAGCTGATCCAGAGAAGAGTCTGCTCCTCTGCCCGTGAGCCCGCCTCCCCCCGCCCGCACGGTGACGTAGCATCACGCTTTTGTCGTTTATCACCTGTACTTAGTAATTTCATACATAAGAATAAACTTTTTCCAACAATGACAATCCGTCACATCGAGCCCTATGTCCTCGATGCACAATCAGAGCCTAGTTATTTAGTTTACAGAAGTATACAGCGAGTTAGCGTCACTACTTACAGATCGAGGGGGTCCGAGTTACGTCTTTTACCGTGGGAATAACGTGTTTCCAGATCAGCTTTTGAGTGAGTCCAGTTCCATTGTCCCTGTAGTTCTGGAACAGTCTCAGTGAAGTGTCGCAGATGAACCGGTATTATAATAGATCCATGAGATGAACAGATGAAAAAAGTCGAGCCGCTTTCTTCCTCTTAGGGCCAAATAGTGTGTCACATATTTACACCCATAACACACTTCATTCAAGTTGACGTGATCCTAACACTTTTAGTTGCTGACAAAAGCATAAAAACAGCAGCTCTATGTGGTGTCCGCGAGACCAGACCACAGACGCTGGACTCGGGAGCCGGAGCCTGTGCGCTCTGATTCGCTGTTTTGATCCGTCAATCACCTCCCGCCGGCTTTTAATTTATTTTTATTTTTATTATTTTTGACAAAAAACAGCATACTAATTGTGTATTGTTTACCCCGTTTTGACAAAAGTATTTAACAACTATTTTAAATACAAAGCAAACGGGGTCATGCGCGTCATCAGTGTGGTTTTCGTCACTGAAGTGGACCCGAGCGTTTCTGTGCCTCACGCTGGGGAAGGAGACAGATTGTTCTCTTACAAAAGATTGATAGAATCAATGAATAAACTACTGTGGGCTTGTGTATGAAGGCCAAATAGCATTGTAATCATGTTTAAAGCAGAGAAAAGTCAAAAACAGTGATATAGGCCCTTTAAGATTACTTAGTTTTCCGAGCTGTGCTGGATGCAGAGGGCAATTTACAGAAGTTCACTAACATGTGGAGTGGAGCCTGTGGTTCCTTTTGATGTGACCACAGTGTATGGTTTCTGCTGATGTCACATCTTGTGAGTAGATGCGAGTAGATTTAGTTATTTTATAACATTAGGCCCATATTTAATATGTACTAAATATGGGCCATGGGTGTGATATATTCTCACTATGTTACTTGATTATTAATAAATCTTATTAGGGCCTCTACTTAGAAATACATTCCCACAACATAAAGCATGTGATTTCTTATTTAAGTTTGTGCCTTTTTGTGTTTTCAGGTCGTGCTTGCTGAATGTTGACAACTGGCTCCACATACCTGCCATCAGTGCAAAAGAAGTAGCTGAGGCGTTTTGTTTTGTAACTTTTGTTAGAAGCAACAGGATGTAAACAAGTTTAGTGCAGAGAGCTGGGAGCGTTCTATAGAAGCAGACAAACTATGACTTTCTGTGGTTATATCAATTACCATTGTCTTTTAACGCCCCATCGTACTACAAATACTTCTAACTCGTAAAAATGGCTTTACATATAAGCCTGACTTTGTAATGTCTTGCAGAAAACCTCAATATAAAACAGATTTAGCCTCTATTCACTTCCTGGAAAAATCTTGTTCGAAATGTCATTTATATTGATAGAGTGAGTGCTGTTTTTGTCATCCTTTGCTTTGGTTGATTTCTGTTGACTGAAGTTCAGCTATACCAAAAAGTAGTCTGTGTTAGAATTGCAAAGTAGTTTCATGGATGTCTCTGAAGCATCTATCACTCTCATGTGTAATGAAATGCTGTTAATAATAACAATGTGTTTATTATGATAACAATATTGCACTGTTCGTGTTTATAATAAATTTTGTTTGAACTAATGCTTTAGTGCCATCTTCTGGTGCAAATGCAAACCATGTGACTTTTACAAAATCAAACTTCCTATTGTAATTTTAAGTCACTAGATATTTATTGTCACTCGCCGTTCATTAAACTGCATCTTCTGCTGCTTGAAATCCTCACGGAATTAACTTTGAATGGCGGCCTGTACATCTGTCTACTATCTAAGGGCAGATTGCTCCATCCTTTATAGCTGTACACCAGGGAGCGCAGTGGTGTTATTTTACGGTGTTAATAATGTTCTTCAGATGGTTTTGTAGATAAAGTTTTCAAGTGTAATTATCTTTGCGGGACATTTTGAAGAGTAAAAGGTGTTAGGGACAATCCATTCCATATCCTATAGGCAAGGCAAATTTTATGTGTATGGCACAATTCATACACAAGGCAACTCAAAGTACTGAACAAGACAAGATAGCATTAAAATCAAAATAACAGTTCATTAAAAAGAAAGATGAAATATAAAATCCCTCAGTTGAATGCACAGCTAAACAGAACTGTTTTAACCTGGAATCAAACATTATTAGAGAAGATTGTTCCAGATTTTTAGCAGCAGGAATCTGAAATGCAGCTTCTCCATTTTTAGTTGGAGTCTCGTCCCTGTGCTCCTCAGTGTCCGGACTGCGGTAAAGTGGCCCCGCATTTCGTCGGCAGCGGTAAAGAGGTCCGCACTTTGAAAGCGGTTGGCTCTATTATGCTGTTACTTACGGTACACGTGGAACGGGAAGCCACGAGGAGAAGCAAGCAAAATGCAATTGTATTAATAAACTCATTAAAAAAGAACAAAAAGATGTTTGCGACTACTTTCACTGCACACTTATTCACTGTGATGCCCTCGACCACTGTGTAAAATATCATTCACTTTTACTGTAGAAATTCAGAGAAAATTGGGGTCAAAGTGTGCACAATTGGTCCCAAAAGCACTTTTTAAAAATAATTTTAAAAAGTGCTTAGTGAACAAGTGTGCCAGTGAAAGTAGTCAGGGAACTTTTTTTGATTTAAAAAAAAAAGTGCTTTTGGGACCAATTGTGCATACTTTGACCCCAATTATCTCTGAATTTCTACAGTAAAAGTGAATGATATTTTACACAGTGGTCGAGGGCATCACAGTGAATAAGTGTGCAGTGAAAGTAGTCGCAAACATCTTTTTGTTCTTTTTTAATGATTTTATTAATACAATTTGCATTTTGCTTGCTTCTCGTCGCGGCTTCCCTTTCCACGTTTACCGTAAGTAACAGCATAATAGAGCCAACCGCTTTCAAAGTGCAGACTTCTTTACCGTTACACCATGGATCTATTATCGGTTCTAGCGGATGTTACGCACGGTCTTACAGAGACTGGCCCCTTCTCCTGTTGTTGAGTAGGAGTAGTAAAGTGAAAATTGACTGTGGGACTCCCGAACGTTGAAGAAAGAGGAACATATTTCATAACATACGTGCGTTTCAGAGATAAAGAGCGAATCATGGAGAACACGCAAGGGAACGCGCCATCACAAGACAAGAGAGCTATGGCGCAGGGCCAGCAAAATCCCCCTCCACCCTACCAGGAGGTGTCCGCTATGGGGGACACACAGCCTGCGCAAGTAAGACTTTATTTTTTTTTTACCTTAAGCTGTTGTTAAATTACCATACAGGGCCACACTGTGTGCATTTGGTAATACAATCAGAAAGATGTTATCGGACACTCATTTTCACAAAGTAGTACGCTTGGTAAAAGCAAATTATTATTTCTATTATTTTAAGCATTCCTTTATGGCTAACTCTGGTTCAACAGTTTTTGCAGTCAGTTGGAGAGAGTCTAACAAACTGTTTAGTTCTACTGACAGTGCTGTTGTGTTCTGACCTTTTCCTTTCCTTCACCCATTTTATTCTTGGCAGTTTCCTGGATATTCACAACAGGCTTACCAAAACCCTTACCCGGGACAGCCCTATCAAGGCCAGCCTTACCCTGGACAGCCTTACCCGGGACAGCCCTACCAAGGCCAGCCTTACCTGGGACAACCTTACCCAGGACAAGTTTACCCGGGACAGGTGTACCCAGGACAGACTGTGATTACCGTACAGCATGCGCCTCTGTCTCCTCCAGAGAACGACTATCTGGTGTACTCTATCATCACCCTGCTGTGCTGCTGTTTCCCTTTGGGGATTGCTGCTTTGGTTTTCTCTATCAGTGTAAGTACCTTTATTTTCAACACAGCAACAAAATATATATTCAAACACATTGACACGTATTGACTGGATGCTGTTGACTATTTCAACACCGAATTTCAGTGATTGATTTTATGGAAGAGGTTATTTTGTGTGACAAACACATATCTTCTATACTTTTCAACAGAGCCTTATTTCCCACCAGTCCTGGTACGAGCTTTGTTCTGGTGCAGACCTTGTTTGGTCCAGTTCAAGTCCTTGTCCAATGGTCCAATCCAGGTGTGGGCGCGTGCACACTTTAAGGTCTGATTCACTTGAGCTAGACCAATTCTGGTTTACTTGATGCAAAAATCACCATAAAAGTCACTTTTGATCACAGATCTGTGAAGATGTATTTTCCCCAAGTGAACCAGAGCTGGTCCAGTTAAAGCAGGGATGTTTTGAGATTTAAAAATCAATACAATTAAACCTATTTTACAGCCAACTTCAGTTCCCTCATCAGCAACATAATATGTCTTCCAAAACAAGTAAACAAAACTATTGAAAATGCGCCCTAAGTTTGTACAAATGTGGACACATTTTAATGTATATTGGTAAATAGTTTCATGGCCATTTCTGACTTGTTGCCAGTTCTTCATATCAGAAGAAATCTCTCCTCATCTCTCTGTCATTAGGGCTGCAGTGCACAATGTATCATAAACATTGTTATCGTAATATTGGGACGTGCAATATTGAATTTGTAAAGGTGTTCAATAGTTTAATGTTATATCATGTGTTTTTTCATGATTAAACATTTGCAGCCCATAGACCATAAGATAGCCAACAGTGCAGTTCCAACATGTTGAAAGATTGCAATATATCGTTTTATTGTGACACAACTGTCTCATATCACAGTTATTTACAATATCATGCAATTTTTTTATTGTTTCCTGTTTCTAACGGTTAGCACCACTGTGGTTTTGTTCAACAGAGCTATGCCTGTGCCAATGTAGAAAAAAAAAAAAAAAAGGGTCTGTTCCATGACTGTTCATATGGTACCGTGGGAATAATGCCGCTTTTCTAGGGTTGGGATCGAGGTTTGGGTACTTTTTTCGTACCACCTCGAACTGTGGTTCCAACCGCGCCGAACCTAAACCATGACGTGACATGGCCAACTGCCTTACAGTGATTGGTCATCGAGTGTCGTCACTGGACGTCTGACCCTTTGGTAAAAACCACTCAACCCGCCATCTTTAAAACCGGCTGCTCTGCTTTGGCTACATTACGTCCTCCTCACTCCAGAGAAATGGAATCTCACAGAAAGCCCCAAAAGTCAATGTCCTGGTCCGTCCACACGTTACTATCTTTAGGCCGAAAGACAGAATTCAAAGGGAGCTCTAACACACAACACGGAGGTTTAACAAGGTTTTCATGGAGATCGCTCTGGATTTGTGACTAGTCTGTGGTAATCCTGGAAATAACTGGTTAGCTACGTATCCCGTCGGCCCAAAGCTCTCACTGAAATGCATTAACTCATGTAAATGTTTGATTGTTGTACACAGTGGGTTAGTTACATTTAGCTATTGATAGCAAGCTAAGCTAATGTCCTTCCTGTGCTACTGTGCTTTATCTTCATTTGTCTGTACGCGTGCAGAAAAGGGGTTCAAAAGCAAAACTTACGATTTCCTACCATATACTCTTACTTCCATTTACATTACATTAAATACTTGATGTTCGTCTGTCTCTCGCTCAGTGTCCTGAAAAGGTTTTAGGGGCCAGTTCTGCAGGTGGTAAGCAGAGTCCCCTCGGAGGTAATAGCAGCTATAACCGATATTATAATAAGTCCATGCACCGCACCAATGTTACTGGTTACACATTGCGCGTAAATGACGTGGTCTGACAATCCCTCCCTGAAGAGGTACTATTTTCAGTGGAAAAGCACCCAAACTCGGCCGTGCCGCACTGTACCGTGCCGTGCCGCACTGTACCGTACTGTTAATGCAGAAAAGCGGCATAAGTGAGTTCAAGCACTTTCATTTGATCCTGCCCTGCTTTGAACCTTATTAGTTAAGTCATCTGACATTGAGGGGTTTGAACTCCGCTAATGATAGTTATTTAGACAAATTAGTACTTGTATGAAAGCAAGATGATGTGCGGTAGTCAAACTGGTTTTGTGTCAGTAAATCGTATCTTATTGAAGACTATGTTACCGTAATAAATATAAAATATTCATTAGTGCTCTTCACATCATGATTATTATGTAAAGAGCAGATAAGTCCTTTCCCTTCCTCTGGATCATTTTACTTTAGACTTTCCCGGAATATGTACACAGCAACGCTCTGTAGAGTGCACATGTTCCCAAGAAGACCCTGACATGCATTAGGCAAACATTACATTTTAAATATAGAATATCTCTGCATAAGCACTAAAAACAGCCAAAGATCTTTTGCAAAAAATGGAAACATTTTAAAAACAAAATACATCTATCTATAGATTAATTTAGTAAGTATAAGTATAGCATACTGGAGGTGGAAGTGGGATCATGAAACTGAAAATGTTCAGAGGCTTCCCTGCAGAGTTGTGGACTCGAGTCACATGACTTGGACTCGGGTCAGACTCGAGTCAGAAATTTGATGACTTTAGACTAGGGCTGGGCGATATGGCAAAAAAAAAAATCTCAGATTTTTTCACACCAAATCCGATTTTCGATTTTAATCGATTTATTTTTTTCTATTTAAAAACAAACTACAACTGACAAAGAAATAGATTTTCCTTTATGCAGTTTAATCTAAATCCCCATGGAGCATAAGTGTAACAGGAATTAAGCCTTAAAACATGCTTGTAAACGAGATGGCTCTGCCATTGTAAACAGTGAAAATGTAGCTTAACAGTTTTATAATAACTTCACTTACAATGACACTATGCACCTTCAAAATAACTTAAATCACACAAACAAGGCCCATCGCAAATATATCAATCCTATTAAACACATGCATTATTTACATGAAATATCACATTTTTAAAACTGATTACTCAAAGTAGAAATGTTGTAACAGAGTCTTTTCCAAAAGCCTCCTCGGGTTTTCATGCTTGTTCTTTCAACTGTGCCTGAGTAACTGTGCTGTAGTACAACGCTCGGTCCAGCTGGTGGCGCTAATACTAACTTCAGTGACTCGCACATTGTGCGAGCTTCCTGTTTAAATTCTGATGCTGTAGCTAACAGCTACTGTAGCAGCTACTGTAGCAGCTACTGTAGCTAACAGCTACTGTAGCAGCTACTGTAGCTAACAGCTACTGTAGCAGCTACTGTAGCTAACAGCTACTGTAGCAGCTACAGTAGCTAACAGCTACTGTAGCGGCTACTGTAGCTAACAGCTACTGTAGCAGCTACTGTAGCTAACAGCTACTGTAGCAGCTACTGTAGCTAACAGCTACTGTAGCGGCTACTGTAGCTAACAGCTACTGTAGCAGCTACTGTAGCGGCTACTGTAGCTAACAGCTACTGTAGCTAACAGCTACTGTAGCGGCTACTGTAGCTAACAGCTACTGTAGCAGCTACTGTAGCTGTTAGCTACAGTAGATGCTACAGTAGCTAACAGCTACTGTAGCAGCTACTGCTACAGTAGCTGTTAGCTACTGTAGCAGCTATTGTAGCTAACAGCTACTGTAGCAGCTACTGTAGCTAACAGCTACTGTAGCAGCTACTGTAGCTAACAGCTACTGTAGCAGCTACTGTAGCTAACAGCTACTGTAGCAGCTACTGTAGCTAACAGCTACTGTAGCAGCTACTGTAGCTAACAGCGGGGAACACGTTGTTTGTATGAGAGCAATGTGTGAGACGTGTCTTTCCCCAAAGTGCAGCGGCTCAGTGGGACACGAGTGTGTGTGCGCCACGAACACGGGAGTGCGCTTTGGAATAACGAGCGTGAGAGAGCGTGAAAGATGTGGCGTACGAACATGGCGTACGAACATAGCGACCGGAGCCTGCGTGCGTGTGTGTGTGTGTGTTCTGGCGATTACATAAAGTCTGATTCTTGAACTTTTGAAGTGTTATTGCAACAGCACCAACTGTGAGAGCGAGCATCAGGCCAGAGGGAGACTGTTAGCATTAGGTTAGCTTCAAAATGACTGCTCAACACCATAGACCCGCGGTTAGCGCGTTAGCGCTGTAGTTCTGCGCTGGAGAAAATAAAAATCGAATTTTTAAAAAAAGAAATCGCTCTAAACGTAAAACTCGAATTAATGATTAAAATCGATTAATAACTTTAGCGGTGTCTAAACTTTAGCGGTGTCTAAATTTAAAGCTGCACTAACTGACTTTATTTTTGTATTCATTACGAAAATGCTATCCATGTCCATGTAGTGCATTGGGATATACCTCCTTTTGAAGAAAAAGTAGCGCAGATTTGTACTGGCGTAACATAATATTTTAGATTGAGTTTTGATGAAACAAGGAAGAGAATGTGTTTAGGGTTGCAGATTGTGACCAATCACAGCGGACCACTAGCTCCCACTTTCGTAAGAAATCTACAGGTCCGTTAGCACAACAAGTGGCGGAGCTAACCTGAAGCTTTGTGTGTCTCCGTCACCGGTTACTGCTTACACAGCGAAACAGCCATCCAAAAGAAAGTCTCGTTCCTCCGCGCTTCCCGGTTCTATCGTTTTATGGTCACGCCATCCACGTGCAAATCCATATCCATGGTTTATCCATATTGGAAGACGCTAGCTTCGTCCCAACAGTGAGTGTGTGTGGGGGGCGATAGCTTCGTGGGTGCGGGGAGGGGAGCAGAAAGAGCGAGGCCAGCGAGTCCGCGGCTTCAAAATCCCAAAGTCAGTTAGTGCAGCTTTAAGATAAGAATTCCGTTATTCGTCCCACAGTGGGGAAATTTCAATGTTGCAGCGCACATATAGGACAGTAGTAAGAGCACACAGGGATCACACACAATATATACAAATAAGTAGTAGCTATGTTTCTTAGCTAACATAACTAGCTGTAGATGCTGAAAATGCTTCAATACCAGTCAAAATATATATATGTAGTAGTTGTCAAATGATTTGACCGACGTGTTCAGAATTTGGTACAGAAATAAGGCCAAGATTTCAAGAGTTCCAATAGTACATTTATTTCTCTTTACAATTAAATGTTG